ATTTTTAGCTATGCTATGCTGGTCTGAGAGTGTTGAATTTTCCTGTGGATTGTCATTTTATGTTTTACTGTTAACTACCCAGAGTTGACTGACTGGGGCAAGCAAGCAAGCAAATAAATAGTGCTTCCCCTCTGAATATGACCTCTTTGCAGTAATCAGATTTTAGAGAAGATCTTGTTTGGCATCAAACTTTTCTCCAAGTTTGATTGCTGCCAAGGGGGAGTAGGAGGAGAAACATCAAGTTTAATATTTAGAAAAAAGAAAATAAACTATTTGAGGGGTATGTGTAGAGAGAAGAGAAGCAAGATACCAAAGCATTTATAAGACAAACAACATCGGCGCAAAAAACTGTAATACATCATCAGGCATATTGGTCATTGTAAACGAGAGCATATTTTCATTAATCAATAAACAGTAAATCACTTGGCATTTTAAAAGGCCTCACTATCAATCATTTCCATAAAGCATAATAGATGTTTCCTCTGTGCAACTGGTAAGACCATTAACATTCCTTGGAGCTGTTTTGAAGCACTTAATATATCAAATCTTAGAAAGTGAAATACGCTTGAGGATACTGAAAGTTTTGGTTACTTGACCTTTGTTATGGACCTATTCTACTGTAAAAGTTTTCTACAGAAAACACACTCTGCATATAGAAGATTCCAAACTTAATACTCAGCATCCTATGGGGTTATTCCCAAACAGGGAAAGGCTTTAGAGCTGCTGTTGGAGAAGAAACTATTAGAGATACAAGAATCAATCAATGATCCGATTTAAAAATTTACATAATTTAGCCTGGACTTGAAATTATACAACATATGTTAAAACCTATAAAGCCTCAAACACTATTCAACATTTTCCACAGTCAATCCAGGCAACTGGATTGGCTAGATTTAATATTTGTTCTCTCAAATGTCAAAGCACTAAATTCTCTGCAATGAGTTCCATGACTGGTGATTGGCCCTGACCCTGTTGGCCTTTTGCAAAGCACTTAAGACCTGGATGTGCTCTACAGCATCAGGATCGGGAGGTTAGATGGCCCCTGAGATGTTATTGTTCTGCTGAGTGACTACTGCAGGTTTTTCATGCTTTGTTGATACTGGTTTTTTGCATTGTTTATAATGTGTTATTAGCTGCCCAGAGTCACATCTGCGAGATGCATGGACATATAAATCGATTTAGTAAACTAAAAAACTGAATAAATAAGTGTATCACACATACACAATGCTTTCAACATATGGATATATAAATCGATTTAGTAAACTAAAAAACTGAATAAATAAGTGTATCACACATACACAATGCTTTCAACATGTTGAAAATGGGGGCATGAAGCACTTTCTTTTACAATTGCTGCACATTTAAAAACATCAGATTGCACCTTACCTCCACGGTATACAATGAGGTAGGACTAGGACTGCACAGAGCTTTGGATTTGGAGTACCAGCCCTATGAGGTAGACTAGATCAGGAAACTGACTCCACAGGAAGACTAGAACTGTGTTTTATTGAGATAGGCTGTAGTAACAGAATCTTGCAAGTCTGCTTAGTCAGGGAGGAGCCACTCAAGTCTCTTCCTAACAGTATCTCCTTTCCCCAGGCTTAAAGAATGTTCCTGCCCTTGTTTCTGTAATGGCTTCTGAACATTCCCTTCAAGGCCATCTCCATGGCTCTCTACACAGAAGAAAAAAATGTATTTCAGAGCATGACACTCAACATGTCTCAGCAATTCCTTAAAGGATCCTGCAGCAGCTGCAGATGGCAGCCATTCAATCTTGGAGAAAGGACACTGCTGCTTAAAGCAGCTGCTGGCAGGTGCAATATGGGTGCCTCCCTATAATCCAAAGCAGCATCTCTCCTTCAAATCTGCATTGCCACAGGCAGCACCAGACCAGACCTGTAATTTGTGCAGTTGAACCATTCATATACCACTGAGTAACTCCCTAATAAGCTCCTGACTGCTTCCAATAGTTTCTACAAAAAGGACGAGTAACTATTTTGAACTAGAAGCACATTTGGAATGTTGGGGGGTGTGGCAGATGCACTTAAGATGGCTGTCAGGATGGACCTGGCCAGATGGAAAAACCCATTTAACCAGAAGACAAGTCAGCCCACCCAGGATACTCTTTTCTATCCCACTGGAGAAGCCAAAAACATCGCTACAAATAAGTACAATGCTGGATGTCAGCACTCTGCAGTGCGCCAGCTTCCTACTGAACACTTTTTGTTAAAAGAGAATTTAAAGTAATATGTGACACTGAAAGTGTCTAGAACACACTAGTATTTACGGCATGTATGTAAACAGAAAATTCAGTTATAGAATGACATGCTAAAAGGATGTTTAGTATATCACAGAAAAAAAAATCTCCTTTGATTTAGTCACACACCTGCAATAAAAATACTTGAATTTGCTAATTGGTGGCATCTAAGTGACTTTGTGATTTCTTGGACCTGGCCAGAACTTGGATGGGAAATCTCCAGGGAACCCCACGGCTGTAGGCTAGACTGAGAAGTCAAAAAACAACTGTGGAAAAAAAAGCTAGATTAATGGCAAACAAATTCTGTATTGTTGTCAGGAGAACTACGTGAAAATGTTTAACTTGAATCAAGGGAGACTACTTTTTTTTAACTAATGAAATGTAATAAAAGAACACCCAGTTCTTTTGAACTAATGAAATAGTTAGAATAGAATAATAGAAACATAACTAATGAAATGTAATAAAAGAACCACTTTAATGTGGTTCAACAGCTGCGAATGATGTAGAAATGAAGGCAGTTGTTCTTACTGGCTTTTCCCAAAAATATTTTTGTCAGGTTATGCTGAGGGATAAAAAAAAAAAGTCATTTTAAAAAAAACCCTCTATTAAACAGAACTTAATAATTGCAATCTCCATGTTTATGTACACACAAGCAGGTTGTCTAGGAATTATTATCTAGGCCTGAATGTTCATAGTGAATAGCCTTATCCATGACTATTCTGGGTAAATCTGCATTGAGTGTCACTATCTTCTTACTGTTTTTCTGACGTCTCCCAATTTACAAATGAAACTGAGTGGGCCAAATAATCTTGAAGAGGTTTAAAGCAGATTAGAAATGCAATATAAAACTTTTCTGTATTATAAAAATCTGAACAGTTTAGAAAAAATAGAAAGGGAACACTTATCAACAAAACCTTTGAATGAAAAAATAAAATAATTTGTTCAAAACTGCAACAGTATAACACTAATTATATAACCTGATGTAATGCTAGTCAAGTCTTTGCTGTTAAATTACTACAAGTGCTCTTGATTACTGTAATCAGTAATTCTGTACACAGAACTCTTCCACCCAACACTCATCACCTACAAATTTTCATGCTAAAGTTTATTCCTTTAGCTATTAGCTACACAGAACACAGCAGGAAAAAGGCTACATCTTAAATAACGGATTTCCTTCAGTAACAGTTTATGTCAACCAGAATACAATTCTGTTTTTAAAAGCTGAGCACTAAGTAGTACATGATACCTCTAAAGGCACATAACTCTGAAGAAGATGCTTAGATTTTTTTTATGCAAACACTTCTAAGTAAAATCCCTGGTCTGGAAGAGCAGATAAAAAGTTACCTGCCCAAGAGTTAATAAAAATGACAGTCTGAGCAACTAGAAATCTGATTTGGTATACAGTAGAAATATCACCGTAATCTAAAATATTAATGAAACTACTATCAAAATATTTTCAACTGCAAGAATCTTGTCATTTGTATTATGCTGACACAAGATTTCAGCCCTTTATATTTCTATATAAAGAATGGAAGACTAGTTACCATATCTCAGAAGGCATCATAGAAATATACAGAATGAAATTCTGCAGTTCACAGAAGAAATTTATCCACATAAAATCAAAAGGCTCAAAAAGGATCACAATAATCTTATTCAGATTCTTAAGAACTTAGCTAGATCAACACAGATCTTACAATCTATCTAGGGTACACAAAATTAGAATGATTTTCCAAGCTCTGTCAGTGTCAACGTATTTTATTTATTTATAGCATTCATATACCTTCCTTTCAGCCACAAAGGCTCCCAGAATGGCTTACAAATCAATAAAAAGGAGAGACAGTCTCTGACCTCAAACTTACAATCTAAAAAGAATGGCCTGAAAGAAAAAAAGAATGGGAAACGAAATGGAAAGCAAGTAAATTCAGGCCCAGGATCTTTTATGTTACCTAGCTCCATTAACAACTATCTGAATTAGCTTTAAAAAAGCCAAAATTGTCAATCTTATGATTAGCTAAAACAATTTAAAGAGAAGAGTCAAATACTTCTGGACTGTCAGTCGGGCCCAAAAACAGCCTGTTGTTCTCTCCCTCTGCTGCAATCTGATAGGCAGGGCTGCTGAACAACATTTAGGAGACAAATAAAGAAAACTAGTAGTTACTCTGGTCCACTTCTCTGTCTTTGCTGCGGCTTGAAGGAATGATTCAGAGAAAGATTCTATTAAAAATGCTACAAGAAACACTTGCTAAAAATCTACCTCTCAATAACAAGATGGTTACTATAGCTTCATGTTCTCTGGCCTATAGGAAAAAATTCCTCTTAATCAAAACTAGTTTACAGAAGACAAATAACACTGTAACAGCCCAAGCAAACCAAGTCAATTAAATTTAGGTCCTCCTATTCTTACAACTTTTCAAAAGGTATTGTAGGATAGACTTCAGAACTTGTCCCTAAATGTGCTACTGAGAGATCCCAAGAACAGTGGCCACAATAATGATAACCATTTAGCAATCAAAACTGTTATAAACCATTTTCACAGTAACTGATTTACTCACAATACATTATTTGTATTCTAAATGCTTTTAAATTGTATGCTTTAAATAAACACTTTACATTTTTGAATATAATACTAAAGTATTTTCTGTGTTTTTTTTTCAAGTTTGCCTTTGAATTGGTTATTTCTTTTTATAGTAATAAAAACAGAAAAAATTATAATGCTAGAACAGGCCAGGAGTATTTTACTTACAAATTCATAATCACCATCCAGAGGAACTCTCCAATCTGAGGAATATCTTTCAGGCACCTGCCTTCCATAGCTGTTTTGTCGATTCTCTTTTTCCTTTTGTTCAAAATATTCAAGGAAAGATGGTCTGACAGACTGCAAGGTTTCATCTCTCCCTACAAGTAAGACACATATGCTTATTGATTCAAAAGAAAAGGTGTTTAATGTATTGATAACCCCTTTTAAGCAAACATCACAATCAATTACATCAATCTCATGACTAATTCCAAGTAAATCTAAAAAATCTGATTCACAAAGAACTTTGCAAATATGTCACAGCAGCCTATCAGCCTACCCGTGAATGTGGCAAGCAGTGAGAAGTAGGCTTCCCTTCATTGCTGTTACCACCATAATCCTATACTGCGTTCAATCACTTTTTGTCTTTTGCTACCACTCCTCTAGGTGTCTTTTTACTCACTTCATTTCTCAGAGCTCCTTGGAGAACTATGGCACACCCTAGGATTAGTTAACTTAGTAAAGGCCACTCAGGAGCAATTTCATCCAATACTCTTACACTCTATCTTATCTCCACTGCAGGAGGTCTTCCATCAGGGATTGATTTTTCAAAAATGAAATAAATGCTGGATGATTCAAGTAAGAGGATAGAAATCATATTTCATTGTTTAGAAGAGAAGCAGGAACAAGTTTAGCAAGCCTAATTTATAAACTGGAGCAAAATTAGGAATACCATTAATTGCATTCATCTCCTATCTAATCACTCAGATTAGAATCTTTAGGTATCAATCAATTTCTATACCTCAAAACCCATGTTACATCACTGTAGTGCCCCAGGGCAGTGATTAACATGAAGAATTAAGACGAGGAAGATCCTGGTTCAAGTCCGTTGTCAGCCAGAGAAGTTCAATGACTGCCTTTGAGCCAATTCCAATCTCCCACTTTAGCCTAGTCCACAGTACTGTAGCTATGGGGGGGGGGGGGAAATGGAGGAGATAATGCTATATGAAATCTAGAGGTCCTAGAAGAAGGGCAGGCTATAAAGTTAACAAATAGAGAATGTTGGGTTTGAGTTATAAACCATTAAAATATTTCAGCAGCTGTTTTGCTTATATTCTAAAGATCGTTAAAAACACATTAAAGATGTTATCAAGGAGTTCTGTCTCAATGTCATTTTAGATAATGCAGTAGGAAACTGTCTTCAATAATCTCCATTTCACACAGAGAAGAGGAATCAAGTAAAGACTTCAAGAGCAGGGGGAAAACAACCCAGTATGTAGCTGGTGCATTTGTTTTATAGTATTCACTAGCAATAGCCTACTCTCACTATGTCATGAGATGTGAAAGCTTATGCAAATAAATGCCTCACTTTATAACTGGTTCTTACTGTATTTAAGGCATTTTAGACATATCCTTTTAAGTGACCAATCCGGAGCTAACAAGGAAAGCATCATTCAAAAGTTCTAGTTTCTCAGCAGAGGCAATGGAATAGCCTTGCTTCTCTTTTCTTTTTCTACTCCACAGCTTGATGGAATAGCTAACTGAGAAAGGGCAAAAGGCAACAGATATCTTAGAGGAGGGAATGGAATGTCAAGCTTCTGTTCACTCCCATGAACATTCAATTATGAGGCACACATTCTTGTATTGAACAACACAAAACACTTTCAGAAGCATTCAACAGATTTCTCCAAACTATCCAAAGCAAGCATAAGATGTTTTTACAAAAGCTTCTGTTTCACAGTAAAACTACCTCATTCAATGAATTTTGAGAAAGGTCCACCTGATGCTGCCCAACATTTGTAACCCACTCCTCTTTCCACTTAAAAGGCAAAATTGTTGCATGATATTTATGACTGGTAAACCTTGGAGTCCTCCATGTCAATGCAATTTATGCTTCATGGTTATCCAAAAGCTGCATATTAAATGCCAAATGAAACATTTGGTCTACAATTTTATATGCACTTATGTGTTATGAATGTAGTTGGAGTTCTCAATGAACAAGCATAAGACTGCTTTAAAACTACTGTATCAGTTTCACTGTACAATATTCTACATTTTAATGGTTTTTCTTTTCTTTTACTTTAAGGCATTCTAAAGCTCTTGTGTAATAAAGCAGGCTAGAAACATAATTTCTGCAACACAAAAGGTAAACTGCATGGCAATTCAGAATGTGTACCATTCTGGGAAATGGAGTAAAAAAAAATATATCTCCCCAATATATTTTGAAGTTTCTATAAAACTCATAAAAAGCTTTTCTAAAGTACAACATTCAAAATCATTATTCAATAGCCAATGGTAACACAAAATGCAAAATGTTCATCTTGATCCAGGATAGCTGTAAATGTTTGCTGAAAACAGCCAAATTTGCATTGTCTGCTCAGAAATACAAACATTGGTTGAATGATTTTCCCTTAATGGACATTCCACAACATCAGCATAACCACTAAAGAAGTATCACTCCAGGTCCTCATTAATCTTTGGGAAGATTACCTTATGCAAGGCCTTCCCAACCAACATCAGTTATCATGGAGGAATCTACAAAAGATAGTACCACCTTCAGTTATATTTTAGGTACAATATTTTCACATAAAAATCATGTCCTACTGCAAAGCCAATTAAAATGCCAACTGTTAACATCCTGTATTTCTCTATATTTTAAAAAATGTGATCTGCTCTAAGAGGCTGGCCCATGTAATTCTAGAAGTATGCTGGCTAATTCATTAGTCTGATGTTCTCTACAAAACATCCCCATGTGAATGGAATTCATGTAAAATGACTGTCAAATACAGTTTCTGCAAAATGAATCATAAGAAGACATAAGATAAAATCATCAATACTCCCAGCTTATTTACCAAGATGATTCATATATAAATGCAATATTGTTTTGAAGTGTGATGGATTCCTGCATGTAAATTGCCACCTACACACATTTATGAGTTTGCTCTGCAAGATCAAATCAATGTGTCCAAATTGTTAAAGAAAAATCACTTCTGGCTTTAAGTTGGTAATGCAAAGTATGGTTAGTCATAGAGGTTATCACAGACAGTCTAGGAACTCACATACAAGAAGATGTGGAACTGAGTCCTGGAATACAAACTACTCCTTAAGCCAATACAAAGTTCACTCACAAATCCATTTTCCCCACACATACTTCCTAAAGCAAATACAAATACTGTACACATATGCACAAATAACCCTCCAACCAGAAAACAAGTAGAAACCCTTGTGCTGTTTCTCTTCTCTTATTATCTCTCCCCCCAGTTCAATTACCCCTTATTCTTGCACCTCTCTACCACTCACCTGATGTTGTCCAATCACTTACGCTGTTCTTCAACATCAAGGGCCTAAGGCAGACATTTCCTCTCTCTCTCTTTTTGTTTGTTTTAAGCTTTTTCCGTAGTTGGGGTATGCTTCTAAAGCTAAGGGTTGGTCTTCAACAGCCATTTCCATGACGTGAGAAGGCGTTGTTCAAAAATCAAATGAAAATAGTGGTAGAAATACTGGCTCTTTACTTTGGAAGCACAGCCCAGCTATTTTGCAACATTTTATTTAAAAAAAAGGGAGAGACTATCCAATTCCCGGGGATAATCCGGAAATTCCAGATCTCAGTAACTAAAGAACAGGTATTTTAAGTTATTTGCCAAGCTGCTCAGAACCAATCTTTTCTAAACAACGTTGAATTGAAGAAACAGATGTTTGATCAAATCACAAGGAATCCTGACTTGATGTAATATATGAAAATTAGCAATGTTATGTTTCCTGGCATCATAGGTTGAAAGAACTGGAAAAGTCATTTACTCAAGAGCCATCTTGCCAGATTATATATTACTCAGATAAATAAATAAATGGACCACCAGATACAAAGCAGTTTCACGTATTTCCAGACCATTTATTTATGGCAATAAATAAAAATTAAAGCAGCACGCAAATCTGAACTTTTTATTAATGTTTCATAGCTATTCATACTTTAGGCCTCAGGCAAGATATTATACAGACCTGCCTCATTTTAATGTAACTATGTAAGGACCTTAGGAAGTTTCTTAGGCTTTCAACAAGAACAGAACTATAATGCTTGGGGAGGTGAACAAACAAGAGATTTGCTTACTCCTGAATGAGCCAATTTACTCAGCAGATAGTGTGACATTTCAAAGAACCAACCCTAAAGAAAGAAAGAGATGCCATCTAGCGGTCTCACATCTCTTCTTCCCAAAATTGTTCTCCTTCTAATTCCTAATGATCCAAAAGAAATAGACAGTGGAGCCTGCTAGAAGAGCAAATGAGAGCGAGATTTTCAAAAAAAAAACAGGTGAGAAGCAAAGGGTTCACCTTGAGCTGTGTTCCATAACAAAAGAAAACTTTTAGGGCAAGGATAGGAAACATAGCACCAAGGGTACAAATGTATCCCTGGATACCTACCTGCCTTGGTGCCACCAGAATCGCTATCCCACTTGACTTTTTAAAAATGATTCCCTGAACATTTATTTATAGCAATGTTTTTCAGATCTCACAAATACCCTACTGGGTGGTAGAAAACATTCTGCGTGCTATGGTCTTCTCAATGCCTCAGAGAGTGGGTGATGGCTTGAAAAATATTGCAAATTCAGAACATCTGATATTCTTTTATTATCTGCACAAGTAGCTAGCTCTCCATAAAAGGTTCTTACCAGGAAAGAGAAGAAAGATCTGCCCTAGTAATATCAGAAGTAAAGTGGAGTGAAACATTTGGTTTTAGGATTTCTGTAACTTCTACCCTTTTAATAAATCTGGTTAGAGAAGCCTATTTGAGAATCTTGGTCTGGGATTGGTTGTCAAAAGTTTTGACACTGTCTGGTAAGATCTTCTGGCAAATGAGAGCTCAATGACAGGCCATGCCCATCACTGCAGCCGCCCTTTGAGTTAATCTCCCATGTGCTATCAAACCCTAATTCCAAAAATTTTATAGATCAACATTTTTATTATTTGTGATACTATATGTCTGTTGTGACAGACAGAATAAAAAAAAAAAAACCTTTATAAGGATAATATTCTGTTCATGGCAGAGACAAATGACAAAGTGAACTCCCATAAAGAGATGGTCAATTGTTAACATTTCAAGGCATGGAAGGTAATGTGCACACACAGTCTAAAATATCAATATAAATCTTTAAAATAACAATAGCAA